GTCCGTGCAGGGCACAGGGGCAAAAGGAGGGGCCCCCGGGAGAGACGCCAGCCTGTCGCTCGGAAACCTTCGGCCACCAAGACGAATCAGACTCGACAGAACAGCCGCAAGACCACCAACCGCACCTCAGCACCCAGGGGCTCTAGCTCCCCCCACAGACTGTGAGGAGTAAAGCCATTCTACAGTACACCTTGTTTTTACCTTTTTATGGTTAGGGTTGGGGTGAGAGGACGGACATCCATTTTAGGCAGACAGTGGGGGAAAATGTATTGACCCACTCCCTTTAAAAAATGTTTTTTTTTGTGTGTGTGTTCCTCTTCTTCATTTTTTAAAAACATGCCTCCTACTGGGAAGCAAAAAGGAAAACCGTGGATTCTCAGGACCTGTAGGAAGGCAGGCATCAGCTGGACAGATCCCTGCTTTTGTCAGGCCAGCCCACCTCATGCAGGGGGGTGGAGAGGAGCAGGAGGAGGAGTATGGGAACATCTCCTCGGTTATTGCTCTCCTCTCCTCACACTCTCATGCTCACGGTGCATGGATTCCTGTCCACAAGAGGATTAAAAGGACTTGACTTGAGATTTTTTGAAACTGTATGCCAGCCAATTGCATGTAATTACAAGGAGTGAAGGAAAGCTTTTCAGCGGCAACACCAGCATTTGTATTTGGCATTGTCCTGGCAGCCAGTGGCAAGATTCTCGTTGTTACCATTAACAAGGAAATTAGGGAAGCAGTTACCTTATTAAAGGACTAATAAATGAAAAGTGGTCTTCTGGTTGGTACTTCCCTGACGACTGGCTAATTCTGTACCTCCATGTATAAAGCAATGTTTGATTGTTTTGTTTTTCTTTCCAAGGGAACATGTGCTTTTCTTCTCAGCTCGAACCAGTTAGCACTTTACAGTCAATTGTTCCAAAAAACATGAGCTTCTAAAACTTTGTGAAATGCAATGCCAGTTCACTTATTTTTAAATGCATTTTATCTCTTATGCTTTTTTTTTTTTTTTTTTAATTGCTCCATCTAGTTCCTCGGGCATACTTGAACATTGTGTGTGCCCTGTAACACGGGGTAAAATAAAGATATAACTTTATGGTTCAGTGTTGTTTTGTAGTTCTCATGTAAAGTAGATTCTCCCAAGAGGAATTGGCCTTTTTCTTTGGTACATTGAGACATTTCTCAATGAACAAATGAGCCTGGGTATTTACTTTTACACATATAATGTTAAGGTGGAAAGGATCCCATAAATGCCTTCTAATGTATAGCCAACTGTCTTTGTTAATAGAAAATCCCTTTATTGTCCCACAACGGTGAAATTGTGGTTTAATATATGTTGTTGCTAAGGTTGATTAACCCTCTGTGTTTGCCTTTGGCGCTTTGTTTATAATATATGCTGTTCTTTCACAGGAATAGTTTGAAGCTGCACAGCTGCTTTGGGACAATAAGGGTATCCTGGAAGTGAGGTAACTTGTTCTGTATGTTGTACATCAAGGATGTGTAAGAGGTGTGAGAATGTAAATGTGAATCTAACTTCCCACAGATGCAAAACAACTCTGAAGTATAAATGTTTTTTGTATTATTTAGGATTTGCTATTTCTTATTAGAGTATGTGACCTCAAACGGGAAAGGTTTTGTTCCTTTACTCTCTTAGAACCCTGTTTCATTGTTGTGTATTCACAATTTTTCTCAGTACATCAAAAACATTTCATGTTGTGTGTTTAACCAACTCCTTGGGAATTTAGAAATTTCTTGCCTGGATGCCATTTTTACAAAATTTCGATAAATTCTTTAGAAATAAAATATTGAACTATTAATCTAATGCTAAGCTGTGCAGATGCTCTGTCTGCATTGATGAAGATTCCAACAAAACGACAGGTTGACCTTGTTTTAGATCATTTTAGCTGACGACTGCAGTGAAAACCTGAGAGAATTTCAATTCAATGTGTTAAAATCACAAAGCACTGGATCAGCTTAATATCTCACTCAGTTATTCCATGTAGCAAAATAAAGTAAGACAGTCACTGTTTTGTATCTCCTTGGCATTTCAATGGAGATACGGATTTCTGTTTTACCCCTTTATGTGTTGATCTCCAGATAAACAGGATTTCTAAGGATAATTCCTTAACTATCACAATTTACTCTTGGAAGCTACTGTTACATTTATATAAACCTGATAACAAGATACTAAAGATGCATTACCTCATCTGATGCTAATTTATCAAGAGGCTCTTGTCTAGAATGGTTAATATTCATTCATCTTAGTAGGATTGAATTTAGATGTCCTCTGACTTTTTGATGCCACTCAGGCACTGAATAGAGCCCTGGACTTTCAGCTCCAGATAGTCGGGCTTTAACTAAGTGTTAAATGGGTAAAGTAACTTTCTGTATCATTACAAGGGGAGTGGTTGTGGCGTAGAGCTTGAGGTTGTGAGTTTGAAACCCACAGACTACCACTCTGGGTCTCTGAGCAAGACACTTAACCCCTGATTGCTCCCCGGGCGCCCCACGGTGGCAGCCCATTTGGTTAAATGCCAAGATAAATGTTGCAAATGTGACATCAATAAAGTTCAATTATTAATTAATTATTAAGAATTATCACAATGTTTGCCTCCTTTGTTCCAATATACATGCACTATATATATTATAAATGTGATGTTTCATAAAATGTGCTTGATTTCTTTATGTTTCTAACAATGAAGCTACTCTTTCCTCAAGCAAGGTGTTTGCATTGACTTTCAAATTGTTTAATTTTCACCTCTTCTGGCCGGACTTTATCCTCCCAGTTGTTTACTTGCTTGTCCAAATCTTTTGCAGCATGGTTTAAAAAAGGTTTCCATCATGCTTGTCCTTTAACAGTGAAGTACTGTGCAGAGAGGTCATCGTGGTCCACTGATTTACTTGTTTCTGTGGGAATAACCTTACCTGCTCTTTGCTTTTTGAAGCTCCCTGCGAGTTTCGTACAGCTCTAAAAAAACTCTTTGGAATATTCAGACCATATGTGGCTTCTTTTTTTTCTTTTCTTTAAACAATATTCTTTCCACATCCAGATTATGGCTCCAATGATGCATATTGGAACAATTTGAAGTATAGAAATACAGCTGCAACCAATTCAATTAATATGTTTTGCAACAGTTTTTTTCTTTTTTCCTTTTATGAAAGTCTCCTCGCTTCCTTTATTGGTTCCCCTCACTGCAATACTTTGGTAAGAAAAAAGCTTTCATAATGAAACCTGCTTGTTTCATTTGCACATAACAGCAGGTATGCTATCTATCTACTGATTTCAGCTTTTTTGGTTACAAATCTCTTCAGCCGTGTTTTCTTTGTGTAAACTTTGTATTTTTATGTATGAGTGAATTAATCAGGCTGTTTTCAGCTTCTGGTGTACATTTTTTAATTGGTATGAAAAAAAACGTTATGCTGTAGATACGGATCTGTTCAGGAATCAGCTCTGTAACAAAACTCCTTCAGTTTTACAAACGGACCACTGATCAAAAACTCAATGTCTCTTTCACTGCTGCAATACATTTATTTCATTTCAGGTTTCATAACAATACACCAAGATTTTCTGACTTTTCACCATTCAATACTATGTACTGCATCTAAATATCCTTCTGGTTTTACTTTTTTTTGCATGATAACACACTGCTCTCCAGTTATGACAGTCTGAGTTGTTTCATATAGAAGATTAATAGCCTGTCAGAGATGTGATGCTGTCTCTCTCTCACTGTAATTATGTGACTGTAAACAATTGGGACTCCTCTCCATCCTCTTTTATGCCACAAAGCACAAGGACGCATCGCTGACCTTTCACTAACGAGAAGACAAAAGGCTTTCTGCACCTGCTTTATTTAACACTCACAACTACAGCAGAGACAAAACAGAAACGTTGCACTCTTGCTTTGACTGAGTGGGTCCCTCTCTCTTATGTGATTTTGACAAATGGTCCTCACCTTCACTGCAGGGTAGAGTGTAGCTGGTGCTGATGGGTGTTTGAGTGCTGCTCTTTGCTGTGAGAGCACGTGAAGGGTTACATCAAGTGCTTTTTAAGTGTGATGGAGTGTACACCTGAGGACAGGAAGAGAGGATTCTTTCTATTTGTTTTTTTTTCTTTTGTTACAAAAACCTTGAAGCAGTTAAAGATCTGATCACGTAAAAAGAATTTAACACAGGTGTGTTGGCAGCTCCCAGAAGTTCAGAACATTTACATCACACATTACATTAAACCAAACAGTATAAATTCAGATGATGCAACTTTTCATCCAGCTGCAGGTGGAAATAGTAAAGGCTTTCCAGAAAACACAAGGAATAAAAAAAAAAGGATGTTGCAGAAAACAAGAAGTCTTTACATTACAGTCAGTGGTCACAATCAGATCGCCGTCTTTCAACAGTCTCAACAAACCCATCAGCAAAGTGGTGCAAAATAAGAACAGCAACTATTCAAAGCGGAAGGTGAGACAACAAAACATAGATTTTTGGCAAAAGTATTAAATCTCTAAATTATTGAGGGTTAGCGGGGATAAATTGAATAACTATATAATGAAATAAAGCACCATAAAAACACAAAGTGTGTGTATGTATATATGTATATATATGTATATATATATATATATATATATATATATATATATATATATATATATATAATTAGTTATTTAAAAAAAAAAAGACTAATATTTAATTTCATAATTTTAAAGGCATGTTTAATTATCAGCACTTCTTTTTGTATTGTCCATATGTTGACAGTATTTATTTCTTAAATAAAGCCATTAATAAATCTATTTTCTAGGTTTTATTTATGTATTTTATGGTCCATTCATATTCATTAATTTCATATTTATTTCATTTTGCCCCCTGTAACCCTTCATGACAAATACTTCCAGCTAACAGGTTTTTCTTCTAAATGAGAACTCGTTTCTCAATAAAGCACTTAAAATACAGGTTTAAGAACTTGGGATTTTATGCAATTGATCAAAACAAAGGAGAACCTACATTTTATGGAAATACGGTTTTTTCCAATATTTTAATACCTGAAACTATAAAATGTTGACACCCCTAAATAAAATTCAGGGCAGCACTCACCTTATTGGTAAGTGGAGTTTAAGTTTATTGTAAATCATTATTATTACAAAGGAATGTGGAGAGATTTAAGACTGTTAAAATCCTCATATATTTAAAAGAAATAGCGCAAAAATGTACAGAAACTATCTTAATCCACAGTTTTAGGTGTTTTTCTTTTAAGAAAAATGGGAATAAGTTTCAAACCTTTAATGTGCAAAGCTGGTGAAGACAAACAGTTTCAGGTTTTTAAATGGTTTGGAAACTATACAGTGTCCATCCATTGCACAGCTATGTGCTACTTTGTGTTGATCTGTCACAAAAATCCCTTCACACATAAATATGTGGTTGTGAAATAAAATATAAAAACGTTTGTCATATAGTTACACTGGACTTTTAGAAGATATCCAAGACATAAAAGTTTTGTTTTTTATAACCCAGGTTAGCTGATTACTAAAATCTGTTCTTGGATAACAAATAGCTTTAAATTACTGAGGCTGTGTTGACATCTTTGTGCTTTAAAGATCACTTTCTGATCTAATAATCCCCTTGAAGGTAAAGGAGAATACATTACTCATGTCTGACATCAGTGTGAGCAGAGGACAGTGAAGTTTATGAGCTGAGCGATCGCCAGGCCGATGCCCCCAGCTGTCGGCCAGTCCAGCACAGAGCCCCTCCTAAGGCCGCAGCTGCCGTCACGGCTAGGCTGGCCTTAAGCACTGCTCTGGGATGTCTGTTGAAATGGGCCGGAGCCATGCAAGCCAACAAGGCAGAGGTCACGAACAAGGTGAACAAAATGGAGACAGCTGTGTTAATGGCCACGATCTGACCAAACTTGGCAAAAGGCACAATGACGCAGAAGAAAAGAGGGACTGTGGAGATTGCTGTGGTGACAGCGCTGGACACTATGGCAACGCCCACATGGTTCACTGCCTCCAAAGTTCGCCTCTGCCGCTCAGCTGAAGGCTCCTGTAAACAACCAGATAAAATGAATTAATTTAAAAGCATCTTCTTCCACCACTAATGGACCTAAAGAAGACAAAAAAAAAAATTCTTTTTTTTTTTCAAGCAGCTTGAAAAAATTATGAAACTTTCAGTGCCTTTCAACAAACCAAACTTGAACCTTTTCACAGTAGGTCATGTTTAAAGTCGCAAACTATAATATCTGTGTGACTGACCATTAGAAAGTAATGCAAAGTGGAGGAAAAAGGAAACTTCTTTTTCAACTAGTTTTTCAAAACGTGCTAAACATTTGGGTAACATGTGGATTCAGCTCCTTTTACTCTAAAATAAAATAAAAATCCTCTAGCCTTTAGAAGTCCTCATTTTAGTAAATCGAGTCCAACTTTGTGTCATTTTAAACTGTATTAATCCATGTGTTGTGCAAAGACCACAGAGATCTGTCTGAGAGCATCAGTGAACAAACGGCATCAAGAACCAAAGAAAACAGCTGAGGAATAAAGTAGTGACATTTTAAGTTAGATTTGGTTATGAAGAACTATTAAACTATTTTTAGCATTTAATTAACAAAATTAAACCCATTAAGACAAAATAGTTTTGGCACACTGCAAAGCTGCTGGAAAAAACCCCATAAAACATATCCCCCTTCCAAACTAACAGCACAGGGGAAACGACATCACATACACACACAGAAAAAAAAAAAAAAAAATCTGCCAGCAGACAGTCAATCAGAATCTGACTGGAAGAAAACTATTGGTCATCCATCCATGTCTGGCTGTTATAAGAGAACTCCAAAATGAAACCATGTTAAAAAAATAAATAAAATAATTATCTGAGGCAGCAAACTAACACTAAACACTCCACCTCCACTGTGAAGCACGGTGGCAGCAGCGTCATGCTGTGTTGATGTTGTATGGAGCTTCATCCAGAGGCTATGTTCACACTGGAGCCTAAAGTGACCAAAATCTGATTTTTTTTGCCCATATGCGACCTGTATCTGATCTTTTCATGAAATTCTGAACAACACAGACCCAATTTTTTCCAATGCAAACCTGGCCAATTGGCTACTTGGTCCTTTCAAATTTGACCTGTGTCTATACATTTAGGTCACATCCATCCACACTGAACATCATTAATACTTAACAAAGGCACCTATTCTGCATCTTTCTAAGCAGAAGCATGAAGAAAAACAACAACCATGCGGAGAGCAGTTTTTATTTCCAAAATTCTTGAAAAGATTTTATTGTTAAAGCACTGGCTGAGGTTGGGAAAAAAATTAAAGATTGCAAGATGCCCTTCAGCAGTACTATCCATTGTGACGTCATTGCATCCTCTACTGCACATATGGGACACTTAATTTGTGTGAATGCGGTTCACACAGGAGATCACATACAAGTATATTTGAAAATGTGAACAACCACACAAAAGAGTCGGATTTAACAAAAAAAATTGAGCATTAATGCCTGCAGTGTGAACTTAGCCTAAAAGCAAACCTTTTAGAGGTTTGTTGCTTTTATCTAATCAGACTAAGTATGCGCTATGGTGCAGAAAGGCTGGGTAAATATATTCTCTATATGTGAAAAGCACATAACAAAATATGCATCAAAATATAAAGGTCCCATATATTTTACAAATATGTGACCAAATGTGAAAAGGTTCAAAGGAATAATAATAATAAGAAGAAGAAGAATAGCGTTTGATGGCTTAGAGCTGCAACAATGAGAGAAATGAGCTTTCCCTTACAGAGTTCTGTCCAGGCATCGTGGAAGCCGTCTCCCCAGCCAGCAGGTATCCCTCCACCAGGTGCAGACAGTAATCCACAGAAGATCCGACAAGTATTGACAGAGAAATTGCCTCCACTGCTCCCATCTCCCATCCCAGCCAATACATGACAGCCACGACAAGACAGATCACTCCTGTTGAAAAAAAAAAGGACCCAGCCTTTAAAACATCTACACACATGGCTTCCAGGGACATCAGAACCACTTCATCTCTTACCTATAATTGTGATGAGCACAGGCAGCAGCAGCAGAGGATGTGCTGTAAACACAGAGACAGCAGCCACACAGATCCCAAGAGAGAGCAGGAGACTCCAGAGGGCACTTTCCACACCTGGAAAGATCCGATTTCATTATATCTATACACCTCTGCACTAATAGGATTGTAGATATAAAACACTCAACTTAATAATACACCAACCTATAATTTCCATGAAGATCTGCTTCCAGTGCTCACATGTCTGGAAACCTCGCTGGAGAGCAGAGGTGGGTGGGAGGCTGGCAAGCTGCTCCTGGATGAAGTTCTCCCACTGAAGGAAGTCTGAATAGGTCTGAAAGGAGGACTTCCCCTTGTATGTGGTCTTCGGAGGGGAGACGCGAGGGATGAATGGTTAGGAAATGTCTGCTGAGGGAAAAGTAAAAGATAAAAGGGACTTACCGATTCAAAGGCCATGGACAACCAGCGAACCTTCCCTCCATGCATCCCTACTGCTCCGTGGGAGAGCTGCCCAGGGAGGAGGTTGGGTTCAGGCAGAGATTGGCACTCAGGATGGAGCAGCGGAAGAACAGAGGAGAGCTTGTTTCCTAACAGGAACAAAATAAGCTCTACCAATCTCCACACAACATCCCCATTATGAAACATGCATAGTGCTGCTGGTGGCAACATCATGCTGGGGGAAATACCTAGGCACTGTAAATTTGAGATTTTTCTGTAATACAAAGAGCCTCATTTATCTGACTCCATCAGTAATCATGGTTATCAGTAATAAACTACATTTTTTACTGTGAAAAAAGTTATACCATTAAAACAATTTTTTAAAAATGTGTTAAAGTTAAAGGTATAGTGGAGGATGTTTTTTTTTGCCGTTGGATCATCAAAATAAGTGGTCCTCATAATTGTCAATCATTCTGGCGATATGTTTACGTAAGGCCGTCCTTTTTCTGCAACATGCGCACTTTCCGATGTATATGTGTGGTTAGCAATGGTTTCAGCCACTTATTGAAGCTTGCCTTTGTTCTTTTGGAAAATAAACTTGCATGAATGATTCACACAGCAACTTGTAAACAGAGCGTGCACGAGGATAAATGGGTCGTGCATGCTCTCGCACACAGTTAATAGGTATTCCCTTTTAGGAGTGGGTACAGGGTTGTGCATGCATTTTTTTTTAAAGTGGAGAGGGCGGTTCTTTTCAAAAATTCGGGAAACTCCCTACTATACCTTTAAATTGATAGAAACTATTTTCACAGAGCAGTTAATTTGTGTTTGATGCAATTTTTGAAATTATTCTTCGGTCTGAATACTGTGATTTTAAGACTGAACATAAAAAGACTCATAATTTGTACATTCAACAACCCAAAATATCTCATTGTTTGCTATGAGGTGTGCAATGAAGATTTATAGACATTTAAAAAAAATGTTTGTCAGAATAACCACTTTGAGATGTTTTACCTGAGGGCAAACACTGAGCTCCTCCTGGCTTCACCAGTTTTCTGTTGGCACCGACAGCTTTGCAGATTTTGCAAAGATGGCCCATCTCTTTGAAAATATCAAAGTCTGGATCTAGTATAACACTGCCCTTTAAAAACAATGAAATAATATCAGGGAATAATTACAAAAATATGTCTCTGCATTAATCCCATTTTATCTAAACAATTTGTTCACTTTATATATTTCTGCAAATCCTGCAAAAAGTTTTTTAAAGTCATTCAAAGACAGCTGAGCTCATTAGTAGTAGTGTGCAGATCCTGCTGTGAGTAGTGTGCTGTTACCCTCACCATGTCTCCAATCACATGGTTTTCCCTGTTTTCGCTTCGATTCACTCCCAGGATCCCAAACACGACGAAAACCATGGCCCCGGTGTCGACCAGAGGACGCACAGCTGGGCGACCACAGGCACCGCCCATGCACGGGTTGAAGCCGGACGTTTTGGATGCTTTTGTCTTGGCAGCGGATGAGGAATCTTAGAAAATAGAACGGGAGGAAAATCTCTCAACTGTGTTTGTTTATTCAGTGTAAAAATAGCTGCACGACTGGAGTGCTGTGGAAAAAAAGAACCCTCCGGTGGGTTTACAGAGTGCCACTTGAAGAAGCTGTCATACAACAGCATTCTCTCTATTCACAGCAGTCATGACGTGGAGTAAATGACAAAGAAAAGATAAGCTAGAGAGACACATACAGTGTTTTCCTAATGAGCTGAAAAATCATCTTTGTGTTGATAATGATCTCAGACAAAGACACTAGCTCACTCACCGCTGGGGAGAGGGCTATAAAAAGATCCCTTTAAGGGGCCATCAGGCCCAGAACTGAAGCCACAACCAGGCGTTTTGACACACAGTCTGCTGGGATGAGGTCTCTGGTGGCACTGAGCAAAATAAAGCCTCCTGAAAGCAGAAAGCAGATTTTATTTGATAGATTTGCAGCCAAAGCCACTGGAGAATCCTCACTGGGGCACAGAATTTATCATTCCACCTGCTATTCTGCTGCAGAGACACTGCAACATAAAAAGAAAACTCTGGAGTCCAGCCATGGCGGGGATCACACGAGCTGGACGTGAGCATCCAGCTGGGGTACGGCCGGTACTCTCTGGAAATACACACTGTCATTCTGCTGGTGTAATTGTCGAAGGGATGACTAAATGCCTGTTCAGACAAAATGAAACATTATTATGGCAGCACCAGTCACAATATCATAGTGAAGACGACTTTGTTTGCAGCCCAAACCTGGAATGACGACACCTCATCGTGCTCTGTGCTGCACACTTTCCACGGTGATGGGACGCTGGTGTTCAGAGAGAATCTGTAGATTGTTGTGGAGCCTCCTTGAACCAGCTTTGACATGTACACAGTCAGCAAGGAGCCTAAAACACCAGAACCAGATAAAGCTATGGAGTCAGGTGCTTCTACGTAAGTGAAGATCATCATCATCATCAACATCACCCTCCTTACCTGTTGTGTTTGTGCCTGGGTTTGTTTTGATTGAGATTTTGGGGGCAGTTGAGGCTGTTGGGCTTTGACTTCGCTGATGTGTGGAAAACCTCAAACCTGAAGGAGTGTGTGTGTACAGAAGGTGGGGCTTTTCCATGAACACACCTACAGGATAAAACATGCTTTTAGGGGAGCACTTCTCGGTCTTTTTGTAACAAGGACAACAGCTTCGAATAGAATTTCCAAGAAGCATAATGACAAAGATTTTTAAAGTATAAAGGCACAAATGGCATGTGTGGTGTGTGTGCATGTAATTATTTCATTTCATTTAAATTAAACCTTTAAAGTCGGGCTTTTAAAAGAAAAGTCAAAAAGGCTCTGCAGCAGGTTTTACCTTGAAATTCGACTTAGACCATTTTTGTATACACAGAGTGTATGCAAAACAAAATTAGGTTTTGTACAGCTCTCATGACATTTCCTTTCAATTCAATATGGTTGCTTTGCTGTTAAAAAGGTTTGACAGGTTTTAATTTGAATCTTCTGGTATTCTGCATCTGAGTAGTTCTTTAAGGACCACAGTACAGCATCACTTTCAGTAAGGGTTTTCTATGGTGTTTACCGTAAAAGTTGAAAAGAGCAAATGAGTAAGTTATTTGCTGGTATTACTAATATTAATTATTCTGTTCACTGAACAAAAAGTTAGCAAATCTCCCCAGTTGAATTTGTTGTTTGGTTGAGTTTGTTTCTATTGCCAGATATAAGCTTCACCCTAAAGGAGAATTTAACACAGCTTTAATAGCAACAACAACTTGTTGCTGGTTCACTGTTGCTTTCTGTTTTTTTAATGGGGCCTCAATTTTTATCCCTACTGGACCTCTCTTTAAAAAGCTTATTAAGTGTTACAATTTATGTAAAAATCTTCCTTTGTTCGGATTCGTCTTGCTCCCATAGTTTTGTCTACCTTAGATAAAGCCACATTGATTATATAATATGCATTTAATTTAGTTTTATTATTGCATATTTCTAATGTTTGCTGTTTTGCTCTTCCTTTGCAAAAAATTGCAATATTTTTCTCTATTCTCATGTCATTCTTATGCAATTACATTTGTTTATTGCAAGTTAAATACTTCTAATTTGTCTGTGTGTAGCACCTCATACCAGAGCAAATTCCGTGTTTTTGTAAAACACTACTTGGAATTACAGGGTTTTCTGATTAAAAACAAAAAAAGAATAAATCCGTAAATAAAGTTTGTTAAAGGTATAGTTGAGGATGCTCTTTTTCCGGGTGGATCACCAAAATAAGTGGAACTCCTAATTGTCAATCATTCTAGTGATATGTTTATGTAAGGCCATCCTACGTGTTTGTCCCCATTTTCATTTACCACCGGTGAGTCTGACATAATGGAAAAGTTGCAAATCTTCTGGAAAGTAAGCTTGTATGAGCGATGCAAACAGCAACTGTTAAACAGAGCTTGCATGAGGATAAATGGGCTTGTGCATGCTCTTGCACACGTTTAATAGGCGTGCCCTCTTGGGAGCGGCCACAGGGTTTTGCATGTGCAGTTTTTTTTTTTAAAGTAGAGAGAGCGGGTCTTTTCAAAGATTTGAAAAAATCCTCCACTCTAACTTTAGGTCTTAAATCTCTTCTTAAGAGATTCTCTGGGTTTTTTCAGTTTGTTAGGTAATAGCATAAAAAACACAAAACAAAGAAGTCATCTACCTACTGAGTGACTGCTGTTTAAAAAATGAAGCAGCAACTGCCTAAACCCCTTTGCTGTTTCAATTGGAGAGGAAGTCCCTTTGCCTATTGGCACCTCTTTGGCAAATTATTAGCTTCAAATAACAGGCGTCTGAATAAAGACAACAAGACAGCTTTCTACTGCAGGTAGGATATGACCTGCTTTCAAATCTTTCAACAGAAACGCTCCTTAAAATGTCTTTCACTGTCATAGTCTCACCTGAGCACATGGGGCAGGAGATTCCCTGACCACTGAGGTTGCTGCGCAGAGCCAGCAGAGTCTGAAGGTTTGTGTCCTGTCGGAACAGGAGGGGGGCATGGGTGGCTGGTCTCAGGAGACAGCAGCAACCCGCAGAGAAGACCAGAACCAGGAGAAAGACGCCTGGAACGGCACCAAGACAGATATTAGCAACCAGGTCTTCTTTAACAGGGCGGCTTCTAGGATGAAATAATAAATGATCACTTAGGAGTTAAGTTTATTGATTTCCTGTTAATACAGCAGCCGTGTAAAAAAGCCTTCAATATTTTAAAGCAACATAGAGGTTAAAATATCCCAATTAGAAATGGAACACTTACTCAGTAACCTGACATTCACTTATCTCTAATTTCTACAACATAAACATACATTATAAAAAAATATATATATGTATAACATACAGCTTAATTTAAATGTAGCCTAAAAAGGAATCCTATTTAATCTATCTTATTTAAAGCTACAGTGTGTAATAATTACAGGCATATAAAGTCAGAAATTTAATATATTATACATAACTATGTTATTTATCATCACCTATGAGCTCAGCCTTTTAACCATAATATTTGCGTTGCCTTAGAATTCGTTATTTATAATTACATAGGAGCGGGTCTCGCAGCCATGGAGGCTGACATCTTTGCGCTACGGCAAGCGCAGAGGCAACAAACTAGCGATTGCGAGATCTCCCATGACGCTCAAAAATAACTACGGCAAGTTGAGAGAGATGAACTGAGACGGTACTGAACAGTAGATGGCAGTATTATGCCTGAGAAGCGTTTAGTCTGCCTGAAACCAAAGAAGAAGAAGAAGCAGGTATACTGCGCCTCAGTAACAAGAAAGGTGAACAAGGCGGCAGGCGTGAGTGACTTTGCAAACTGTTTGGCACTGTGTGGCCAAACATCAGACGAATGGAGGATCATGCCTACTCTGTATCACAACGAAAAGCGGCGGACACCGAACCCCCGTCATCTAAGAAGCGGAAACACGACGAGAATAAACGCAAGCGTGACAAGAAACGACAAAAAACACGGATCAACATTGGCACGGCATTTACACGATGGAAGTCACTGATGGAGGAAAAAGGTTTTCAAAGTGACGCTCAAGTTGCCAGTTTTCTCTTGGACAGGTAATTAATCCTACACACACAATTGTCTAATATCACTGCAGTTTTTGGAGTACAGGATGCTCAGACCTGTCTAAAACAATAACATGCTGCGTGATGATGCTGTTACTCTCCAGTATACTTATTCAGCAACGTCCCTGACGTTTCACAGGTAATGATTCAGTAATTTTCTGTAAAATAATTTTCTGGATATATACCTCGGTTACTTCTCTCCGGCTCCTTTGGAGATCTTCAAGCCTTTCCTCCTCTGCTCTCACCCCGCTGGCTCCCCTCTCTCGCCTGGCCCTAGCTGCACGGCCTCCCTGCCTTCGCCCTCGTCCTCTCCCTCTCCCTCGCGTTGTAACCCCCGTGCCACCAAAATGACTTGGACTCTGTAAACGGGGGATATATATTCTTCCAGCGAACACAATCTCGCTGTTAAACTAATGACTACAATTACTTCGTCTGTTTATATCACCATGCAAAGCAGCTCACCAAGACGTCACAACGATGTAGAAAAAATAACGGGTATATTTATTATCTTAAGTCTACATGAAATCTATACCCTACACAGACTAATGATATACTATCTGTAAAATTATCTATGTAAACAAACCTCATCACTTGAGAGGGTAGGTGATGTGGACGTCGTAGAAGAAATTTTGTCCCGTAACGCTCGCCGTACTGTTGGGGGGGAGAAGCGGTGGGGGGGAGATGTTCATGTTGCTGCGGTCTGTAGTCTGACCGCTAGATGTCGCTGAAAATTACACACTGTAGCTTTAAAAAAAAAAAGAGTTTTGATCATGCATTGTTTGGACATTTTTTGGTTAACATATAGTTACACCAAAATAGCAGATTTCAGTGCAGGGATGTTTATTCTGGTTCAAGTTGTCCAGAGTCATCATTTAATCTTTTTCCACTAGCACCATTACAATTCTGAGAGGAGCTCAAGATTACTTCAAACAAAATAGTTTTTAAGCGGAACATGTAATGATTGTTAAAATGTTGAAACATTTTTTTCATTAAATAGAAATGTAATATATCTTTTTTTTGTAATTTGCAATAATTAACAGCAATTCAAAATGTAAAATATGGATAAATAAGGACAATTATTATAGCATTAAAAAATATTGATAAAGATTTTTTTTTATTTCTCTGATATTTTGAAGCACAGCTTCCATCCATCCATTTGTTTCTTATTGCTGCAGAAAAATCTAGATTTTCAAGGCCTGAAAAGAACCATCTGCTTTGATTTCCTCTTATCATAGAAAACACTGGGATGCTCTACTCCTTATAAGCTAAATATTGAGGGTCAATCAGTGGAAAGAGAGGAAATTGGATTTTGTCTAAGATTTTCCAGGATAGTTTTAGCATGAAAAGAGAAATAATGGAAAGCAACCAATGCTCAGTGGTAAATACAGTGGAGGGCCTGTGATGCTGTGGGTCAGTATTTTTCCCAAAGGTCCTAGGAAGTTTATTAGAGTTCAAAGTATCATAACTAAATATATATTTCAAACACCAGAAGATTAAAAATTAAATATGGTGGGTTTCATCTATTTATGATGCATAAAAAGTCAAAAATGAACATTTGAACAGGATAGAAATGTAGATCAACTCAGAAGTTGGTCACAAGAGAAAACATTAACTAGATCTAAGAGAAAAGAAGATCCAGGACTCTCTGTCTCTATATGCTCCAACACCGAGAAGCGTTAAAGTGCTGCCCTGATGCCAACATGGGCTGTTGAGCAAAGCGTCAATAGCATTAATACTATCACTGAAAAACAAGTGTTTTTCTCACACTGTGAGTTTTATCATTTGGAAGTTGCTTTTTTACCATTTTCTATAAAATACAAATTCCTTTAAAGGTCACTTTTTGGATGCAGACAAACCTGCGGGTTTTTTATCTGCAGCCTTTGTTAAGAAAATGTCCTCTCATGTCCAATTTGAGTGAATTCATGTCATGTCTCACCTAAAACCGCTTTCCGATGCCTCACAGCAGGCACAGCCACTAAGTGCTTCAGGCCCCATTGGAGTTTTGTGCTAACCACACCCATATGCTGCTGTCCTGTAGAGGATAATGGTGTCTCCACTGTGAGGGAAAGAATGGCTGCATCGCTGTCTGTGTCACAGGAGCCTGCCAAAAGGAGAATGACCTCAGTGATGCCTCAACAGCTGTGTTTTATAGTCAGGAATCATAGCCTCCCATTCGCTGCCTCGCCATACCGTCCACTTTTTGTAAAGGAGATCATAATCTCACCTGGCTCCATGTCCACCGACAGAAGTGCCACATCATCATCCTCATCTGACAAAGGGCTGTAGCTCGCTGACAAGCCTAAGAGCAACTTCACGCTTCAGAGAGAGGACAGTTTAGTGTCAGAGGCAGCTGTCTAAACTCTGCACAGCCACCACAAATAACACCTCTCAACTAAGCAAGGAAGCAGCAGCTCACCAGTTTAACCAGTCATGTTCGTGAGGCTCCACATGCTGGGTCCAGATACACAGGGCTGCTGGCATCAGGACAGACACCCAAAGCCAGGCGCAGCTGACAATGAGGGCCATGAATAGGCCAAAGTCATGCACGGCTGGGATCTGAGTGTCAGTTAAACGCAGCACAGTGTAAAGGACCTTCAAACATTCAATTTGTGCTTATCGAGCAAAAACGGATGTCTGCTGAGAGCAGCATTTCTATTCATCCTGTGCAGAGGAGTCATTTAGACTTCCTGTAGACATTCTATTAAACGGTGCATTTCTCTCGCCCGATTACCTGAGAAAAGGTGTTGGCGGCGTAGGCAGCTGCAGTCGTGAAGGAGGTGAGGAACGTCGCCCTGCCGGCGGTTTTTATGGTGTAGATCATTCGCTCCTGAGGGTGCCGTAGATGGGAGGCCTGTCTGAAGGTGCTGATGAACACAAACACATCATCCACACCTGAGAGGTGAAGAGCAGAAATATATGTTTATTGCAAAGGTGAACACTGATTTTATAAATGCTCATCCAGAGAACAAAAAGGACCCCAAAAAAAATCCTTAAATGGAAACTTGCATTGAACTACTCTGGCTTGTTTAGCATAAAGTTCAGAAGAGATGCAGATGACAGAAAGGATAAAAAAAAAAAGTTTTAAGCGAACATAGTAATGAGTGAGATATGATTACACAATTATACAATTTAACTGCTGTGGTAAAAAGAAGGAAAACCTTTGATAATTATTCAGTTATAATGTAAATTATTTATGTAAGCCAAGTGTATAAAACTACAAACCACTGATTCAATCATGTTGATATAGATAAAAAAAAAAACAGGCAACAAAAATATAAGAAAAAAAACACAAAAACAGCAGGTTAAACTTGACTATAAAGAATCTGATCTGTTAGCTGCATTTATTCTTCTAAAGTCTTTAGTACTTTTGCCAAAGTTTGCCCACAAATTCTAACTTTAAATACATGTTATTTGGATTTGATGGAGCAGATGAACAGAGGAAAACTGTAAAATTATAATATTTCCAATTTGACCAAGTCTTCTTATTATATATCTAACCAAAAGGTCTGTACGAAGTTATCATATGATTGATATTCTAAGCAAGAGCAGATTCTATTAGATTATTAATCTCCTTTTCAGAAGATTCTGCCTTAAATAAGCATAATAATCTGCCAGTACAGCAAGAAAACATCATTTGGTAAGACTTCTTTTTTGAGAATGTATATCATGATTCCCAAAGTCTTACCAAGAGTAATTATCTGGCAGATTATTTATCTTATTTTAAATATTATTTTAATAAAAGATAAAATAAAAAAAAAACGAACAGAATATGATCTGTTGTAGATGCAAAAGGATACATGATCTAAAAATGTTGACAAAGTGCACCATATATTTGCATTCAGCTGTTTTTGTAGAACCACATTTTGCAGCAAGTAAAGCTCCAGCTTCTACTGTCCCTGTCCATGCTGCTGCCACCACCATGCGTCTCTGTAGAGATTTTGTTTTTTCCACACTTATGCACACAATTTTTGTAAGTTATCACATACATTCCCAATGAACTAAGTCCAAGTTTGTGATTTTAATGAACCAATATAAAAACTAAAAACAAATCCAAAGAACATCAGAGCAAAAACACACTTTTAAAAGCCATGGAACAGATAATCTACAGAGGCAATACACTTTTGATGTAATTTTTCAGACAGCTTTATTGATTTAAATTCACTGATTATAATTAATTATATATATAAAATCTATCTGATTTTATATGAAAAAATAAAAGAAAAAAATATTTAAGCACAGTAAAAGTAATTTGCTGACCCTGATAACCTATAATGCAGTCATTTGAATAATAAAACACATTTCATGGTTACAATTGCTATTTTCAGAAGTAAAAGAACATGATTACATGGAGGAAATTATCAACGGATTAATTTACCGAAAAACATATTTACTCCTAGAAATACTTTGTTTATGCAAAATATATCAAAAGCATGTTTGGCTCTTTTAACACAATTGCCTCATTGTTCTCTGTGATGTAATAATTTGAACAAGTTAGCATTTAAACATTGTTGCTCCATTCTTAAGAGGAAATGAATAATCTATGTGTGTTTTGGGAACTATCACTTTGATTTTCTCCAAGACTATTCTTTAATTTCAGCCTTTTTTTTTTATCTTGAAGCTCTAATTAATTTTAACCTGTACTTTCAGTACATGAAGAATATATATTTGATTTTTGTCTAACTTTAAAGAATCTCTCAGGCAGTAAAAGTGTAAAAAGACTCAATCATTGTTTTCTTTATTTTTCCTTTTTCTTTTGGTCTTTATGTTCCTCTGATCAAAGGATTTTTTTCTGATGAACAAAACTGCCTGCAGATCAATCCTGTTTATAAAACAACACAACCTAAAAATAAATGCAGACTTTCACCAAGATAAATGCACGCTCTTACCAATCCCAATGATGACAAACGCTGCCACTCCGTTGAGAATGCCGAGGTACCTCACTCCAAAGACAACATGGTAGAGAAAAAGAGCCATCAAGCAGCTCAATCCGATGCTGGCGAGTCCAAAGAACGTCAGAAAGACTTCAAAGAGAACAAAAGAAAAAAAAAACTGAGCCTGTTCACATTTCAACCAAATCTTCAAAGAGAAATGACACAAGAAATAGATCACACTATCTGGATGGGGCTGATCACTGCAAACCAGGGTTACATTTTTTTTAGATGAAATTTTATTTTTAATTCATGTAAGATGAAAAAATAAATAACTGATCACAAAAAGAGAGAAACAGATCTTATTGTACCAGAAAAGGAGGTGAGAAAGTAGACGAGCGCAGTGATGCAAGCTCCGCTGATGACAGCCAGCATCATATCATTATAAAAGGTGTGTCTCACTTCATCATCAAACAGCTCCGTCCCCCCATACAGCACCTTCACCTCACTGCAAACAGGAATACAAAGAAAACAACCTGGGACTGAGTTACAGGCCTTGTACTATGAGCCTCGGTGCTCCAAATACTTAAAATGAATAACACTCAGCTCTGAGGTGAAGTGTCTGACCTGGTAGACTGCTTGGCCAGCATGCCTGCATACTGAACCACAAAGTTTTTGAAGCGAGCTCTTTGCTCATCTGCTCGATCCTGCAGGGAGTAGAAGGACGGCAGGGGAGCTCCAAAGTGGATCTCACTGCGTAAAAGGGCTGAAGAGAGATGCTCAGGGGAGAGACTTTCATCCACGTACCAGTAGAACTGTGGGTGGGTGATGGCCAGACTCAGGGAACCTACCACAAAGTGCCAAGAGATGAAAGCAGAAGTTAGGTTAGCTCGACTCAGAGGTTTTTTTTTATGATACAGTGAAATACAAAAGATTTTATACAGCATCAACTTTTACATTTTCTCAGAAGATAACCAGCAGTGTGTTTTATAGGGATTGTGTGAGGCAAAAAACAACTAATAAAAAACCCAAAGCACTTTAATGTGAAGAAAAACTTTTTTTTTCTTTCTTGCATACATTTTCAATGCATGAGTACTTAGTATGTAGTTTTCTCTGCTATCAGCCTCAAGTATCAAGATTTTAACATCTACAGACTGAAATTATTATCGCGATGTTAGTTTGGCCAGGAATTATCAAGTGTTTCAATAGACTAATATAGATTATAACATAAAATACCACTGTGCCTTGATTACATTGTTTAGGGTGGTGGTTCTTTTGTTTTTCCCCCATTTTTTTTCTTTCTTTCCAGATTACCCTGCATTACATCTCTGGATGTCCCAATACAGTTTTTTTTTTCTCTGACATTATACTGATGTTACTATAGTCAACAACAGAAAGTATAAGAACAACTGCCTATATATTATTAACTAACCTTTAAACAGAAGCAGATAAAAGCAGAGTGTTTCTATCAGATTGCTTATATCGGGGATTTTAGAAGCAGGCTAATATGTTCTAATATCAATTTTCTTTTATCAATATGAAATCCATAAATCCATCTATCCTTCCATCAACTATGATCACTCTCTCTGCTGCTGCTGAGGAAAAAGATCCCACAGGATAATGCAGTCTCTACCATGTTTGATTGTGTTTCATTTTTTAACATAGTTCATAGCGTTTGCATAGGTAAAAAAAAAAAAAAAGAATTTCGGTTAAACGGTTTCCAAAAAAAGCATCTCATTCAACAGGTTTGCTTTATCCCCTTCATCACTTGTGGGAAGCTGTAAAACTGATTTTTTTATTACTTCTTTGAACAATTGCTTTTTTATTGGCATATTTCAAAAAAGACGATTTGCAGGGTTCACAACTAATATCTGTCTTGAAGAGACAAAACAGTAGATCTCTGTGGATCCTTATAGAGGTACCATTAGTATTCTGGCTTATCATTAATAAAGGCTCTCGTTTCCTGGCCTGATCTTTCAAACAGATGGCTGTTTCCTTGATGGACGCTTTGCAGAAGTTCCTTGCTTTTTACCTCTTTGGATAATGGATTAAACAGCACCCCATGATGTGGCTAAAGCTTGGAACATTATTTTATAATCTTGGTTTAGGGGTATCAAAGTAAGTGAGGCTTAATACAAATGCAAACACCATTTTCTTTGTACAAAATTTTAAAAACTACAGATCCTCTTTTATCCACTTAGAGTTTATGTATATGTCTATAACACAAGATGCTACAAAAAATACATAAAAGTTAATTTTTTTTTAACATGAGAGCATTTTCATAATAACGTATTGTAACTGGATCATCTTGTTGACTTACCTTGAATATCAGCCAGATCTGGGCCCATGCCATCATAGTATATCTTCCCCGCCTTCTCACTGGGGTAGAGGTAAGACAGAAGTGAGCTGGGTGGGGAGCAATAAGAAGGCCCCAGAGGCAGATCCCTTAATATCTCCATAGGTTTCCAACAGAACTGATGAAACTGAGGATGCTGCATGAGCAGACGCTCCACATGGTGAACTGTCTCCAGACGCTCTGGGGTGAAGATGTTGCGCTCACCTTTCCCCTGAGCTACAAAAACCAGCTCAATCTTCCACAGAGCCTGGCTCTGCATGTAGTAATTAGGAGCAAATCTGCGCCTCCTAATGAGTGAGAAGGAGGAATTTCCATCTTTTAATCCCTGTTCCTCTTCAGCTCTGTTACTTAAGCTCTTGTCCATCTTTATTCCTCCCATACTTGAGTCAGGCTCAGTTTCTGCTTCTCCTCTCTGATCACCTTCTGTTCTTAAAGTGTTGTCTGGTTGAAAGGAGGACTTTACCTTCTTCCCTTCTGTCCAGTTGAAAACCCCCTTTTCATCCAGCTTCTCCAGGAGAAGCTCCTTTAGAGCCTCAGACTCCTTGTCCTCTATGTCCCGCCTGCGTCTGTCCCAAGACCCAAGCTGAGTCCTCACAGCAACAGTGAGAGCATCAAAGCGCTCAGCTGAGAAGTGACTGTGAACCTCAAAGGCACTGTAGGAGAGATCTATGTCCAGAGGAGGGCAGTAGAGCAGCATGTAGGCGAACAGGGCAGAGGGCATGAGGAATGCTACCCCTAAAACCACCCCACTGGCCCAGGGTTGTGTGTACACCCACCCCACTCCACTCCAAACCCCACAAACCCCTTCACTCCCCGACAAACAGCTCTGCCCCGCAGCGTGCGTCTCCCCATCCTCCTCCTCTTCCTCCTCATCTCCCCAGCTGGTGCCAAACAGCAGCGCCTCGTCCTCCACATCCATGCTGGCACCTGTGAGCGACACATTACACCGCTTCATTATTACTTTCTCACAACTCTGACGGCTTCTTCTCCTCGAGTGAGTGAACACGAGCAAGAAATAGATGTTTGAATTTGGAACAGTTGACACAAGCATTAAACAAAATGAAGGACAGGGGGACTTCCAAATCTGTACTGAACAAGCAGGGCTGTGAGGGAATGAACTGTGTCCTTAAGCTGCTGCAGACCAAGGTTCTTTCTCTGGGTGGCTCATGTGGAGGAAATGAAAGGGATAATGGGGAAGGTGGGAAGGGGTTCAAGGGCTTATAGACAAGAAAAGGTGGCAGCTTTTTGCTTTAAGATGCTGCTCACAAGAGCTTGAGGTGAGACAGAGTAAAGCTGTGATTTTATTCCTCTCCCTGTCAGCCCTTATCACCAGGAGCGAGTCCGCTGGTGGCTGTCGAGGTGCAGTGTGTGTGTATGGATGTGTGTAGAAAATTAAATATACTCACCTGCCTAATTACTGACAGAAAGAGCGAGCGGGGTATTAGAAACTGTTGCTGGCTTATCTCCTGTGATGGACAGCTCTTGCCTAATGATGTCAATGGGTGCCTCTTATTTAAACTCTCATGCTCATGATATGCTACTGCAGACAGTTTGCATGCTGATGGTAGTGAGCTCTCTAACTGCAGCGATTCATCCGGACTCTTTAGAAGTGAGCTTAAAGGTCAGTCAGGTGGAACACTGCATGGTGATGAAGAAGAAACAAAAGCTGTCCTCTGCCCTGCAGATGAAGTAAAATCCATCAGAAGATTAAGCAGCTGGCATTTTTTGATCAATACTAAAAATTATTAAGAATTTTTTGCTTAGGAAGTGAAGACAAATGTCTCTTCAGAGACAAATTCTGAACCCCAAATTAAGTTAGACACTAGCTGATCTGACTTTGTTTTTCCGTGCTCCGGGAACTGACAGGTTTATTTCCCATTAGAAATAGGTGGGTTATTGAAATTGCATAAACTTTTCTTATAGTTTAAATCCCTTTACAATAACCTGATAAAGAAAGTGCCAGAGTGACAAAAGTTTGTTGCATGCACCAGAAGGTGCAAAGCATTGCTTTTTTCCTGTGTGTTGATGCACACTGCCTGTAAGTTTGCTGAAAGGCTAATAGAGTTTCCTTTATCAAAAAAAGAAAGACAGACCAATTTGGCTGTTTTTAAATGTTTTGCATTACTGAAAAACTTAATGCAGCTGCTCAGTGGGAACAGTGGGTAGCACTGCTACCTTGCTGCAAGAAGGTTCTGAGTTCGATTCCCGGCTTGGAGTCTTTCTGCATGGAGTTCGTATGTTCTCCCTGAGCAAGCGTGAGTTCTTTCCGGGTACTCTGACCTAACCTGACTGTTAGGTTAATTGGCTTCTCTAAATTCTCCTTATTTCTGTGCATGAATAGTTGTTTTTCTGTGTTGCCCTGCGAAGCACTGGTGACCTGTCCAGGGTGTACCCTGCCTCTCGCCCATAGACAGCTGGAGATAGGCACCAGCACCCCTCGTGACCCCAGCTGGGATAAGCGTGACAGAAAATGGATGAATGAAAAACTTACAGCAACAAATAATCACTGTAAAGCTACAGCGACAAAATCTAATGTGTTTATTTCAAATTGTCTTTATTATTGTATCCAAATTAAAATAGCTAAATAAATGCAATATATTTAGCGATTTTCAGTTGAAGGGGTGAAAAATTAATGCTTAATTACTAATAAATTAATAAATCAAGCCAGCTTACCTCTATAATGCCACACATGTTGCTTAAACATGATGATTTTTAAACTCTGAAAGAAAACATCCTCCTCTTCCAGAGTTTATTATAATGGGCAAAGATATCTCTAAGCGGCGCCGGATATTATCCATTACTTTAAAGAGAGACATTAAGATGATATCCTATCAAAACAAATATTCACTCTGAGGAAGCAGAGTCTATCCTTTATGAATGTTAGGTTTTCAGAGACTACTTTCACATTCGATACAACCATGCCTACAGCTCTGCAGCTCAACCCAATTAATACTTAAGGGATCAGTTTAGGTGAACTGTTGATGCCAGAGCGAGCAGTGATTGCACCACGCTCCTCTATGGTGTTAGGGGCCCTATATGTAAAAGGGATTAATCACTAAGGTGTCTGTCTACTTTCTTCCATCATCTGCTCCAATAAATAAAAACCAATAACCTGTAACATAGGCAGAGAGGATTTAACAGATTTCCATGAGCCTGAACTAAATACTGAGATTTGCTTAATACACACATACATTTTCCTTACAACTCTACCTCCATGTAAAGAGAAATAAATCACTTTATTCATTGCCAAGTTTCACTGCTATAAAAAGAGAAATAATAAACCAAAAATATAGCTTGTGTAAAGGCTGTTCCTAATGATATGATGTGCTCAAGCTTTCACATTTGCTCTGTGGCAGGTATGTATGAACAGCCACTAGATAATGAAAGATTCAGAGATGTTGGACGCTATATTTAGTGTAAAATCTTACGGTTTCGCTCAGAAGGTGTGAGACAAGTCCATTTATCTACCTTGTATTAGGGAGCCATGGCCAGCAGGGGGCCCCGAGGAGCCTCAAAGTCTGCTTATACCTTGTGCCGGCCTCTGATATTTTTCATTTTGTACATTAAGATGTCATAATATGTTTTAGGAGCATGGAGCATTTTTATTTCTTTTACAAACAAAAACTAATTAGACGCAGATGTTTTATGAAAACATGTTTTAGTATAAATATGGTGATATCATGAAACCATTTTACTCCTGGTTACAGTCATCACAAGACTCATGTCTATATATCTACAGAATGTGTTTGTGTAACAGGACAGCTCAACGTGTGTAACGAATCAATCATTGGAAATTTTTTCACTTCCTTTTCAATAAGCTTCTAATATTCAGCTTTAACACTACTCAGATGGGCTGAAGCTTTTTAATGTCACATTTTCCCCTTTTATGTAACAGATAATAAAGCCACTGGATATGAAAAACTGAGAGATCCACACTGAATCTAATATTCTATAAAGGACACCAATTTTCAGCTATTTAATTCATTGGAACAACAGAGAAAGTGCACTTATAATGTAAAAAGGACAATGTTAATATGAACCTCCTGAACTCTAAGGGGAGTCATTTAGGTATTATTTCTGTGCAATTTGTCAGTCATCCAACTATCCTTCAGCTGCATCTTGATTAATCCAGCTTCTGTTTCTTGAGGAGTAATGATAAAAGTGCTTGAACCCTTTGAACCTCCCAACTTGATCAGTACTTTTTAAACCAATCTTACACTGTTGCTACATCTGCAGGTCTTTTTTCACAACAATATTACCAATGTTTAACATCGAACAAATTACTGTTTTCCCCTCTCTTCTTAACGCTAAGTCAGATTGGATGGAGAACATCTGTGAACATCATTATTCCGACACACGGGTATTTGTGTAGGTTTTGAACCTAAACCGTTCTGCAGCAGCTCTGTCAGAGTTGTTGTCTTTTTGGAAGGTTAACCTCCTCTTAAAGGTTTTTTTTTCAGTGCTTTCCCACAATTTATCTCCTTCCATCTTCCTATCAAAGCTGACCAACTTCCTTGACGGTGCTGTAGAAATGCATGCATGTGAGGGTTTGGTCCACAGGCATAATGTTTTGCATGAAGAAGAGAAAATGTATGGTCTTTTCTGATCAGAGAACCTTTCTCCCACATGTTTGCTGCGTCCCCTACATGGCTTGAGCCAATCGACGATGCAGTCTGGAGTGGCAACTAATGATTATTTTGCAAATCGACAAATATGTTAATTATTTCTTCAATTATTTGATAGATAATTTGATAGCCAAAGGTTCCTTAAAGAAGACTTTTTACAAATTTAAACCAGGTGAAACTAAAGATTTTACAGTAGTTCTGGATAGAGCATATTGACAGATGAATAAAAAAAAAAATCTTAAATAAAAAATGTTTACATTATTTTATTTATTTATTTATTTTTTTACAATTTTGGTGTAAATGCTGGTCTAAGTGGGTTGCTCTGTCATATTAAATCATGTTTTACAGTCTCTATACTCCAGGTAACGATTAATCAATTTAGCACTGCTGCCTTGCAGCAAGAAGGTTCTGGGTTCGATTCCCAGCCAGGGTCTTTCTGCATGGAGTTTCCATGTTCTCCCTGAGCATGTGTGGGTTCCCTCCGGGTACTCTGGCTTCCTTCTACAGTCCAAAAACATGACTGTTGGGTTAAATAGCTTCTCTACATTCTCCTGAGGTGTGAGTGCGTTTGCAAATGTTTGTTTGTCCTGTTTGTCTCTGCGTTGCCCTGCAATGGACTGGTGACCCCGTCCAGGGTGTACCCTGCCTCTTGATAGGCACCAGCACCCCTCATGACCCCAACTGGGACAAGTGTGTCAGATAAGGGATGGATAATCCATTATTTCAGTAATTGATTAATCACAATTAATCAGATTAATTAATTTAGCCCAAATGCAGTCATAACTCCAAAGCATCCATAAAAGCTATGAGGCCTTCAAAGTGCAGCTTCATCTACAAAGATTAAACTCCATTTACTAATTCAGCCCCTTCTGCAGGTGTCAGTTTCACAGAGATTTTATTTAAGGGTGTCTCAGTAAAAGTGGCAACTAAAAAATGGACAAACCATTGAAAACCAACCATTGTTTTTTTAACTTCCCAATAATGAGCTACTTTGTGTTGGTTTTTGAAGTTTATTGGAATGTAGCTCATTATGTTAAAACTGCAAGAGGCATAATTACTTTTACAAGCTGTTTTGATTTGCTGCAGCCTATAAGCAGACTTATTGGTTAGCTGTAATCACCCATAGCTATTACAGCCATATAAGCACTGTAATGTTTTATCTAGTGTAAAATGCAAAGTACATGTCCACGAGCGAGAAAGGACCAATTATGTGATATTTCCTAGAAAAGAATGTGTGGGATATTATTTTTTCTATTGCTAGCCAATGAGACTGATAACAGCTGGCGGGTTTTGATCATTCGATTCTCCTAATTGAGTTTCATTTCTGTCTATCCCTGCCTTGTTTTAATAATGGCAGTTCTTGCATCGACTGGAGAAAAGAGAAGACTCTCAGACGAGCACAGAAATATAATGAGGTGTGGAACGACAAGTGGAGACGATAGAACAGCTTGGGTGATGACAACGGATACCCTTCACTTATTGGCGTTTAGATAATAATAATAGAGTGAAAAATATTGGAAGTGCATAGTTAGATTTCCACATCTAGATTTACAAACATTAGATGAGCTGATTCCTGGTGCTAATGCCGACTTTTCTTTAGAGTTGTTGCATATCCTGAGAGCATGTCAGTCATTAAGCCAAGGTTTGTGCTTCTCCCCCCCCATCTGTCTCCAAGCCTCTCTCAACACCTGCTGGTGAAGATGAGCAGACCTAATGAGAGTGGTGCATGGCCTGAGGGACACATCCTTTCCCTTCTCTGATGACTGACGCTTCTTCACATTCAAGAAAATCACGGCAATAATTATGAGCAAAGTACAGCTGTAAAGCACTGCGGAGATGTGGTATAACTAATGCGTTTTACAAGACGCCGGATTTGTTCAGCATATTCTGCTTTTTTTTTTCTGCAGAGATTAAGAAGAGCAGTTGATTTAAATCCCATGGAGGTGAGGATTAAAACTAGACTGTAATCTGACTTCCTACAATGCGTGTTTGTGGGGATAAAAAAAAAAAGCTGCCTATGAGATAAATCCTGGTTATTAAAGCCATTTTGTTAAAGGTGAGTCACTGTTTTGTCTTTTTTTTTTCTTAAGATGCAGCGCCCTGCTCTAAAACAGGGATGATAAATGCATGAAGCAGCCTGAGCAGAGCCTGTGTGCATGTTCTGAGAGGACTGAACCTCCTCTTGTATAATGTATGCTGTGTTACTGGATAACCTTGTCTGCACCCCCACATGTTAAACTCGCTTAGGAACTTTCACTGGAGCTTTTTATATTTATATTATTTTTCTAAAACTCTTGGAGCTCAGTTGTTCCTGCTGTACAGCAGGAACACCTGAACATGAGCTGCATGTAAGGAGGCTCTTAGTGCAGAACGGGGATGGAGTAAGCTGTCTCAGATCAGAAGCTCAGTGAGAGAAAAAAAATATCTAAACAACTCATTTTGTAAGGGGCTAGATATTTAAAAACTTTATCAAAACAAAAAGCAAACATTTCCCCCCGTTTCCAAGAAAACAAAATGGAGCATGGCTTTAAAAAATAGGGTGCTTTCCTTCTATTTGTGTGGCTTTGCTGAGATGAACCTGGCTTTAATATAATAGATAAACCTCAAGACATAAGGAAGTGGAAGAGTTCATTCATTTCAGTAGTTCAATTAAAAATGTACAGATTTATCAAAAGCAGTGGAAGGATTAAGGGATTGCTGTAATGTTAAGGAAGCTCATGTTGTTCTTTTAAAACTCCTCCAGATTGTCTGTATTGGATTTGGTGTCTCTCATTTTCTGCATTTTTATACTCCATAGACTTCCTCTGGCTCTCAGGTCAGGTCAGTTTGCTGGCAGATTGAGCACAGTGACAACATGGTCATTAAAGCAATAGCTGAGATTTTTTTATTTTTTTTTCAGAGTAGGCAGGTGTCAAATCCTGCTGAAAATCAGCCTCCCTATTAAGCCTGACACAAGAAGGAAGATGGAGGTCTTCTAAAATGAAAAAGGTGGACAGCAGAATGGACTTTGGATTTAATAAAAGTTCATGCCAGCAGATGGTAAGGCTTCCTATATTATTGCTGTCTTTATCACAAGCCTAGACTTTGATTTCCAAATGAAATAAAAACAATTCCAAACACTTCTCTGTATCGTGGCTCCAGGTTGGATTCAAACCCCGACTCAGATTAATCCTTTAAATTCTTCATTTTATTTCGTAATCGTTTTAGTCTGTGGTTATCCCTGCTGCTTGTGCAGTTTTACACACATTTTCCTTTCGCTGAACTTTTCATTTAAATCCTTCTGTAACCGATGATTATCAAAATCAACAGGAAGAAATCCTTTAAATGTATAAACTAATAAGATCAAAACTCTGGCACAGAAGGCCGTCTTTAGGAAAAAGGAGTGGTATGATAAAACAAAGATGCATGCAGAGGAGTGAGGTTAAAGCAATAAACCCCAAGAAAGTTTGGGGTATGTTTAAGGCATGCTGATGGTAGAACTATAATCTGTGGGGTTTACAACATAAAAATGATATAGGAGTTATGCAATCTCCAGATATTAAGTCAATTATGTGACCCAAGAGAAGCTGTTCATGTTGTAAAGAAAACACATTTTATTTATTCTGTTTCCCAGGAATAAGAAAAAAGCAGCAACAATAAGGGGGGATTGGCCAATAAGGTCATGTTTTTGAACACAGTGTCTTTTTTTATATGAATCCATGCAAGATCATTGATTGCCATCCAAAAAACTCCAATATTTCATAAAAATGTTAGTGGCTCTGAACCAGAATAAAATGAAAATGCCAAAAACAGTTTCACCACCTTTCTTTTAATCCTAAGTAGGAGCTGGGTGCAATAGCAGCTTCTTCTGAGCATGAACACTTTACTGGTCATTATTTTTCTTGGCTTACCGAACATTTGAGTCACTCTTTATCTCCCACTCTGGTGCCCTTTTCCACTCTTCAATCTCTCTGCCTTTTCTGCCTCTGTCTTTCCATCATAGGGGAGATTTTTTACCTTGCCGCTGACGACAGCTTAAAGAAAAAAAAAAAACACCCCTCCCTCATTCAGCTCTACCTTCATCAGTTTATCTCCTCTCCATCTCATCTGATATGGATGCCACATGCTGCCTCCTTTGCCCCCACCCTACACACACAGCCTGATGTAAAGTCAGCTGGAATACCACCCAATTTAAAGGCGCATTGATTTCCCCCACCGGTGCTCTATGAATACATTTCTTATGCATGAGCACCCAGAATGATGTTTATATTCGATGTGCTTTCTATTCTCCTCCACGGCCTGAGTGTTATGCTTCGACTCAAACTCCCAAGATCCAATTTAGGTGAACAGAGGTGCTCATTTCTCTCATGGCTGATGAATTACTCGTTACAAAGGTGGAGGAGCAGAAGCAGAGTGCAAGGTGAGTAAAGCATGTTGGTGATGAAACATTTTTCCGCCTCCTGCTTACTGCTGAAATAAAAGGACTAAATAAGCCCTAAATGTGCTTGATTATTTTTTCTCTCATTGGATGTGTAATTTACAAATTAATCCAAACTTTTCCTGATTCATAAAACTAATTAGCTGGCATTCATTTTGCAGATGAGTGCCATCAGTGATTATATTATCTTTTTTTTTTTTTTTTTTCCTAAATAGGTAAAAAGGCAAATACCTTGAACAGTGAGGAAGACTTACCTGAGGCTGATTACCCAGGAATCACAGGTGGAGTGTTCAGGCCTCCCTGGTCCACTTTTAGAAAGCTGAACTTGCCCTCTGCAGTTGGATCTGCTCCACGCACCGATATCTAAGGGGAGAACAATGATCAAACTGCTTTTTTGACATAGTTAATAACTCCCAAGGTGAGCGAGATAAACCAATGGAGTCCTTATGATAAAATGACACACACACCATAAAATCCACTTTCCTCCCTCACCCGTTTTGAATCTCCTTATTCAAACACTAGTTCATTCTGTTGTTTTTTCTCCCTCTGTTTCAATGCTCCTAAGTCCTTTCCCTCCTGCTCTGGTGCTTCCCTCCCCTCCTTTCTTACCCGGTTGTCGAGGCGACAGTCAGCGAGAGACATTTCTTCCCCAGAAGCTCCCCTCTCTCTCTTTCTCGTGGCTTTGTTCAGCACGCTCTGCTGACTGGCTCAATACTGGAGGAAGCACAAGGAGGGAGAGTCAGCTCTAACCCCCCCAAAAAGATGATGCTCCTAGGCAAAGAAAACCAAACGGGGTGTTTTTGCCTCAAAAGAAGAGTCGCTGTGAGGGAATCAGTCCTTATTGAGCTGCTTTTAGGGGACCATGTCATAAGAGGTATCTTGATGCTGCAGTAGAGCCCCCTCTCATCCAGCTGGAGGTGGTATGGTCTGGTCCAGACTCAGTTGGTGGGGTGTGCTATAAGAGGGTGATCAGAATAACTGGCTAGAGTGAGGGACAGATTAAAATAACCGCCTAATCAAGGTTTATTAGCTTTCAGGTTTGTTTTCCTTTGTTAGATAAATCCCTTCTTGCTTCCCTGAATGTATTTTAACACTGTGTTCAGCACCTGTACCAAACACAGCCCTGCTTTAAAGGCAGCACTGATTTGAGTTGTCAGGTTTTCCTTCTTTACGCCATAAAATGCCACCTTTCTGACTGAGCCGTCCTTAGTCCGCCTGCTCTCTTCTAACACAGATGAACGGCTCGCCAGCCTTTCTCCCACACATCCATCAGCTCACTTTCCCCTCTCTAGGTTCATGGGCAACCTGGATTGCCTTAAGATCACAAGGTAATAATTCATCAGCCAAAGGCGTGTCAGGGTGATTGCTGTGAAATGAGACTTCATAGCTACAAAGAAAGCAGGTTGAGAAAGTGGTGCGTATGACCGTGAGTGTGCACAATGGTGTTTTATCATTTCTGGTGTGTGAAAAAAAACAGACTTTCTACCCAAAGAGTCTCTATTGTTAAACTTTAATGAGTCTTTAGGAACTCAGACTTTATTTCAACAAACATTTATGACCAATATTGGCAGGCGAGAACTCAAGAGGCAGCATCTGACTCCACCAAATAAATTAAATAATACAAAAGCTGACTTCATTCACACTTCTGCGCATGCATACTGAACACACACACATGCAGAGATATGAAAGCCTGATGAAGGAGCCTCACAAATGATCTATACTGATAAATCATAATTTTACAGATTATTTTCCCATACTTTTCACAATCGAGCAGGAACACTGTGAAATATTTAAGACGAGTACAAACTAAAGGATTGTACTACATTGTAAACAGAGAATAAGAAACAGATACAGTTTGTCTTTCAAGGTATTCAGAGGAAAGGTATTCTGCATGGAAGCAAATCGATCTGGGTAATGTTGCATCCACGTTTACAGTTGTGAAATGAAAAAAAAAAGGATTGCATGCATCAAGTAGTTGCATCCTGAGTTATTAATTTTAAGGGTTGTTTGTAAAAATGTCTGTATGGAGAAAATGTAACAAAGCTAACTGGATATAAAGTCAAACAAACACTTTTTTAATGCTTAGTTTTTACATACTTCATCTTCTCAACACCTACAGTAAGAGAAGGAATGGATGGAGGAATGGTTGGAGTTTTAGGAAACAACACAAACAGGCTGATATGTTAACGAGGCTCAGTAATGGAAGCTGATAATAAGAACCTTATTATAGAATAAATTGACTTTAGTGTGTGTCTTCACTCTTGTACTGTAGACACCATTGAATGATTTGGTTTACAAATTTTCTCCCCCCCAGCAGGGGCAAAGAGGAATACATCTGGAATGAAAACATCATTATAGTTCTCTGTTAAAGGTCAATATGTGTGGCATGATCTAAATACATATACTGTTGTTTCGTGTTTTGTTTAGTTTAGAATTAAGGTGTGTTGATAAAATGTTGGTTAACACACCATGACGGTCTGCAGTTTGCATAACCACAAATATTCCCAAACAACCTGAATCTGTCATTCTTGTAAAGTGAAGGGAAACCAGCTAATGGCAGTGAACAACTACAGGTGGGAATATTCACAAAGTTAACAAACACCTGATAACAAAAGAAAAACAACTCATAAATAATCCACATACCGTTTACAATAATTTAAAAAATGCAAAAGAATCCTTTGAATCAACAAAAGATTTTATCATAAAGCAGAAAAATAAATAGAAGACTTTGTTCCTGGCTGTTTTTCATGACAAGACTTGTGACCTGAGTGTGTATTTAATGGTCCTCTGTACCCAACTTTCACAGTGAAAAAAAACAAACAGATTCAGAGAGGTCGGCAACAAACCGATGAGGAACAGGCTGATCTGAATGTGCTCTAACACTCTCTACAGTAAACTCACATACACTCATGATTCTCAAAGCGATCCTCTGATAAAGCAAACTTCTGGCTACCACAGATGAGTCTCACGTATCTCAGAGATGATGGTGTTGGCCTTTTTAAGAGCCTACAAGCAAAACAGACAAATAAGACTGTTAAATTTATGACCCCCCAAAAAAAACAGGAGTTGATTTTTTTTTATTCCTCAGTTTTACCTCGAGCATCTGTGCAACCTCAGTCCGTTGCTGCGCGGTTTCCTGCGATTCGATGAGCAGCTCCTGAAGCAGTGGCTGCTTGTAGAGCTGACCCACCAGCTCGCTCTGCAGATTCTCCTTCACATTGTTCACCAAGAAATGCATCACTGTCTTGGGTACACTGCAAACAGATCCAAGAAGGTCAGATAAAAAAAAAGAAAACAGCTGAATGGAATGAGAGATTCAGAGTAGCAGTGGGTGCCCTCCGGTGTTTTGGATTTGTTGAGTAAAATCAAACCTGTCTTGAATGCTTTTGCGAACGATGAGGAAGTAGCACTTGATCAGACGCTGGATGACCTCACAGTCTCTCTGCTCCTTCGTGCTCAGTTTGCGGGATGCAGGCATCGCCTGGCAGAGACGATGCAAAGGATCAATCAAATCCTAAACGTTTGGTGCCTTTAATGATCCTATCGCTCACCGTGTCAAGCAGGTTAATGGCCTGGCCTTTACTCGGGCTGCCAAACCCCGTGGCTGGAGTTCTCTCCTCAGTAACCTTCTCGTTCTTCCACCGTTTTCCTCCATCGGTGGCCTCCGCCTGAAAACAAGGTAAAAACAAACAAAAAAAAACTCAAAGGGGAAAAAATTATATCACAGAGTGTGGATTTTTTTTTGTAGCATTTGGATGCAAAACATTTAAATCCAGGTTCCACAAAGCACAGCCTCTGCAGTTTCCTTTGGCAGGATGAATGAGAGATGTTAATGTTTGCTGTAGGGCAAAAACAAACAAATTGTACCTGCTGACTGTTGACGGATGCTGAGACCTGCGCTGCATCTGTAAAGTCCGGATGTTTCGTATTGATGTAAGCGAGCTCTATGGCCACTAAATTGTGCACCTGTCACAAAAAAGCAGAAGAAAATGATTGCTAGAAACACTGAGCTGCTTTCTAAAACTATTATAGATGCACTAATCAGTCAGATGGAGATCACAATCTGACAGCTTTCCATCGATTGGGAGGTTGAACGTTAGAAATACTGAATGTTTTTGCTTTCCAAGAACTTCCATCATTTTCAAAAAAAAAATTTTTTATTTAAATTGATGACATTAAAACAGGTTAAGCTTAAGCACATGCACTTTAAAACTGGCAGCATATGATTTTTGTCTTTTTTTTTGTAGTTCTACAAGGTAAACAAAAAATGGAGCGGGGAAGTCAGCCTTTAAAGGAAAGTGGAAATTAATTTCAGCCAGGCAAAAACTATGTTAATTAATACAGAATTAGCTGCGGATTACCATTTCATTCGTGATTGGCAAGCGCTTCCTCAATAATCCGGTCACAACCTCAACAATGGAATCGTGCAGTTTGGGAAATCGTAGAAGCTCCTTTAACACACACAGAGAGGCACACTCTTAGTCTCTTTTAGCTCTAATGAAATAACCCACTGATGCAGAAAAGTTAAAGTGGATAACCTTCTCTTGACTAACCTGAGTGCTGAAGGAGGAGCAGTGCTGGATGATCCTCTGCAACTCTTCATGAACCAGCTCCACACAGCGCAGGCTGGGATCCTCCAGACGCTTAATTTGCCTCTTTACCAGCAACTCGAAAGAAACCTCTGGCACAAAAAGAGCAGGTCTCGGACCCTGCAGGGCCAAACCAACATGTCTCAAACACACTTATCTATGCCAGGGGTACAATAAACAGTGTAGATGAGTCTCCAATAAGAGGCAGCTGACCGTAGCGTTGCGGATGGCGGTGAGGATATCCAGATCGCTCAGTCCTCCTAGGGGGTCGATGGACTGCAGGGTGCGGCCGAACGTCTCGTGGAATATGTAACAGATCCGAGCCCCTCCGCAGCTGCAGGGGAGACGGGTTCAGCCGTGAGTGTGTGTGTATCAGCCGTGATAATTGAGCCCAAATGAAATGCTGTCAACCAATAAAAAAAGGTCAATATTTGCTCTTGACACATGCAAGCGAATTAATTGGCCGGAGGTAAGAGAGCTGAAGAGGTGAAGGTCCCAGAAGATGACATTAATGCCACAATCTAGAGACTAACATGCTGACTTTTACTAAATCTGCCTAAATTAGACGCAATCTCTCTGCTAAGAAGTCAGAACTGATTATAAGGGTCTGTTCTGAAACAGTTTAAGCAGGTAATCATAATAAAAATTGAGTAAACCAAGGGGGGCAAACTCCAGTTTTGAAGTCAATGGATGTTTTTAAGCCCTTCTTTGTTCTCTTTTAATCTCAAACGGTTCTCATATTCAAGGAGCCTGGTATGACGCCGCTCTCCTGAGAAAAAAAGAGCACCTCAGTGAAAAAGTTAAGCAGCTTGTAAAAGCAGGACATGTTCTTCTAAAACCTGCAGATCATGCAGCATTAATGAAGTCTGTAAAGCTATGTTCACCCACAGCACTGCTCATGAATATCAATGTCACTTTTTTGTGCTATTTTATTAATTTAACAGTCATGTACAATGCAGTACATAGAGTGCTCTTTTATGTATTCAGTCAGTTTTAACTAGTAAGGGGAGTCTGAGCCTGTAGAAATAGGC